ATCCACCTCAGCCCACCTCTTCCAGCATCCTGCACAGCTGCACAGCCAGGTGACCTATCCCACACTGGTCTCCAGTGACATTCTCTTCTAACTTTATTCCACCACAGACACCTGTCCCCAGGGTCACACTGTGGATCTTGTCATTACTCACTTCCAAAATTACCTCATAAAACCTCCCATGAGAAACAAAGTCTGGGGCTGATGCTGGGGTGGGAAACGGGAAGGAACTTGCACTGCTCAGCTCTGCTCACTTTTCTTCCCTCCCCAGTGCTGATCCTCCCAGTTCTTCCCCTTCACGAGCCCCTCCTGGCTTCACTTTACTCTTTATCCCTCCAGGCAGTGAAGGGCCACTAAGTCCACTAAGTCGTTCACCGTTCTTGTCAATACTTTAAACTACCCACACTAATGCCTTTTTGTTGTGCTCACCTGGCAAACTCCCACTTGAACTCAACCCTTTCCTCTCCCTGGCCTGCACCCCGGAGACACCCTGACGTCTCCACAGTCCTCCATAGTCTGTCTATGAGCACCAATTCCCAGGCGGCGCTCCATACTCCCCACTCTCACTTGCTCCTGATCGAGCCCCTCTCAGCGGCAGAGGGGGCAGTAGATTGAAAAGGAGGCGGCGTGAAAATGGCCCAGCTGCTCAGCATAGGACTGGGAGGGAAAGTTCAGTTCCAGGTGGTGAGAGGTCCAGCACCCTGTCTGACAGAGCCAGACCAGCAAAAAACCAATTCTGAGTCCTCACTTTCTGTTCAATAAATATTCCCTTAAGTCAGTTAGAATCTGAAGGGGAGAAAAGGTACATGATTTCTGTCTCCCCAAAACTCCCAAGATAAAGACTTGCCTGGAAGGCTTCGACTTCAGGTCAGCAGTGCAAGAGAGTGACACACCTGAGAAGAGACGCCCTGGCATAAAGAGGGACCTTTTCAGTTCAAAAGGGCATCCCTTTGTCAAGGTTATTAATAAACACATAATAGGAAGACCAGAAATCTAAACTGTCAAACCAAGTCATCGCTATTAATCTAATAAGGTACGAGTGACATGTAAAACAAGTTGTGAAGCAACAGGAATTCATACAAGGCACGGACACTGACACGCTAAAGTGCATGTGGACATCCGGTGAGGATGATGCCACCGTGGGTTTCAGTTTATGGAAAAGAAATCTGTTTACCTTTACAACATGGCAGAGCTTCTGTGTTAAAGCTGAAACTGAACTGACATCATAGTCTTGGAGACGAAACGTGTAACCAAAAGTTTTAGCATACTCTGTAAGTAGATCTGTCATCATAAGGCAGTTGTCTTTTTGGGACCGAAGAAGTTTAACGAACTGGGCAGCTAAAGCTTTGAATCGTTCTACCTCTGTCAAAGTAAGGATTTTTTCTTCTCCACATTCCAATACCTGGGAAAACACAGGGAGGAGGAAAAGCAGAGTGAGTAAATTATGACTGCTCATGAAATTAAATGACATGAAAATGTCCACGAATAGTAACTACAAGCGTGTCAGTGATGTTTTATGGGTAAGAAGTTTCAGTTTTACAAGATGAAAAAGTTCTGGAGACTGGGCCCACACTGTGAATGTCCTTAATCAACACCACTGAGCAGGACAGAGGACGAGGACCCCTCATTTGGGAACAGAAGTGTTTCAGATTTCGGAATATTTACATATACATAAAGAGCTGTTGTGGGAATGGAAACCAAATCTAAACACAAAATTAATTGATTTCGTATACAAGGCACACACACAGCGTAAAGGTCACTTTATACAATTTTTTTTTAATATTCGCACTATTCTAATTGGGACCCGTCACGCGATCAGGTGCGGAAGTCCCTGCTTATGGTATAGTATCAGTGAGCAAAAACTTTCAGATTTTGGAGCATTTTGGGTTTCAGATTAGGAATGTCCAACATGTACTTAAAAATGGTTAAGATGGGGGCCTTAAAATGATTAAGACAGGTGGTGTAGTGGTTACAGTGCTGGACTCCCACATGGCCGACCACAGTTTAAGTCCTGGACCCTGCAGCTTGACAATCATGCTGGGCATATGTGCATCTGTGGCCAATTAAATCCCAGGAGGAGATTGGAGGAGAAGGGACTGTGGCATGGCCATCCCTCCAAGGAGGTGATTTCTCACTTCCCCTCTCACTATCTCTCTGTTTTTCTCTGGCTAGCACATGTGCCCTATGACAAAAACCTTAAAATATGCGATTGAATGTATAAATAATAATCATCATCATAAAAAAGAAAAAACCTTAAAATATAATTTAAAAAGTATTAAGATGATAAATTTATGTTATATGTATTCTGCCACAATAAAAAATGTTTAAAAATCACTTTAGGAACCAAAAATATTATTAATAAAACCAACAGTAATCTGGTTTAGCTTAGCAACAGCTAAACAGCACAGCACTGACACTACTTCATGTACTCATCCTATCTCCAACACAAGAGAGATCTGAAAATGAGGGCACTAAGGAAGAATATTCAGTTTAAGAAATCAAACTACTGGGGACCAACAGGTGGCATGGTGGTTAAGGCGCTGGATACTCCCACATGGCAGACCACGATTCAAGTCCTGGACCTGGTGGCTTGCTTTCTCACTTATCCTCTCTTTCTCTCTTGTCTTTCTCTGGTCAAATTAAATGAATGAATGAATAAATAAAATTAAATAATTCTTTTAAGAAAAAATAAATCAAAGTATTTAATCCCCTTTTCAATAATTACTCTAAAACAAGCTTGAAGGATAATTCTTTGAGAGGAAAAAAATACCCACATTTACCTAAAAATATTAATGAATCAAGAACATAGCTTCTCTGATTAGAATATTTCAGATTTTCATCCTTTTACATAATCCCCTACCTTCCAGGACTATAGATCCTAAAAATGAAAACAAAACAAAAAAGCTCCCTATAGATTGTTCATGAAAACATTTGTAGCACTAGAATTTCTTCACTCACTTGTAAAATATCAGGTATGGCTTCGAAAAGTTCAAGTAGTTTGGTAAACCCATAGTATGCAAGTTTGCATTGCCGACCAAAGTGGTGATGGTAAGAGGGAATAAATTTATTAAAGGGCATCCGGAAATGGGGTTGGTGACGCAGCAAGTCAACAACATCCTTAGAGAACTGTTTCGTCCTTTCTATTTCATCCTGGGTACGTTCTAAAAAAAAAGAAAAGAAAAAGGAAAAGGAAAAACAAATCACAATCATCTTCTACCCATTTGTGTTTAACATCCATACTGTAGTCAGTCCTCGTCAGAGTTTACAAGAGATAACACCTTCCTCTTCCAAACAAATGTGACCCCAAAACAAATGTGTACTCTTCCCTCTTTGCGAGTGACTCTCAAACGTGTTCAAGAGCGGAATACTGGGACGTCGTGATACTACTACAGCGTACTGTGAAATACATATTCATCTTACAAGGGGACACGAGGCCATCTTACAAGCTAGAAACAATTTTCTAACTACTTCCCCTCCGCCCTCGCCTCATGTGAACTACACACACATGGGTCTCTCTGTATGCTTAAAAGTAACCTAGAGGGCATGGTGGTTAAGGCACTGGACTCACACATGGCCGACTGTGGTTTGAGTTCCAGACCTGCTGGCGTGAAAATCATACCCAATGTATGTGTGTGGGTGTGCTCAAAATCCCAGAAGAACAGAGAAGGGACTGCAGTGTGACCATCCTCCCTGGGGGGTGATTTCTTACTTTCCCTCATTCTCTCTCTCTCTCTCCCTCCTATGAGTGTACGCATAGTATGGCAAACACACAAACAAACAAAACCTTAAAAAAAAAGTAATCTAGAAAGTTTTTCTATTGAAATCACACTTCTGAACAATTTGCATGTTTTGTTTATTCATTTGATCTTCAGTTAGAGTACTGGACTGAGCATTAAAACTTTAACAAAAATAAAGATAAAAAGTTAAGTTTAAACTTAAGTTTTTGTTTCTTTCCTTTTTTCTTTCTTTAAAAGTTTTGCCATAGGGCACATGTGCTCGCTGGAGAAAGAGAGAGAGAGGAAGAGAGAGAGGAAAAGTGGGCAATCACTCCCTAAGGGGGATGGCCATGCTATGATCCTTTCTTACCCATTCTCCTCTTGGGATTTTGGGCACACATGCACACGCACCTGGCATGATTTTCAAGCTGCCGGGTCCAGATTCAAACCATGGTCAGTCATGTGGGAATCCAGCATCTTAACCACCATGCCACACTGGCCTCTCTCAAGTGTAAGACTGCCATTACTAACGTCAGCTCTGGAATACTATGATTTCATGAACATAAATGTCCTGTAGAAGCACAGTTTAAGAACCATTAATCAATAACAGCAGATGAATGTGATAATAGGTAGTTTTGGTTCATTTTTATAATTTCCTTGTCTTTTCTTTTATTGTCAGATGATCCATGTGCTTGACAGACAGGGGACAGTACCTCTCAGTAGGGTGCAGTTAAACTGCAACCCTTTTCCTCCACTTCTAAATCTTGTTAGGATTTAGGGTATACACACACACACACACACAAACCCAGCATATTTTCAAGTCACCAGGTCTGGAACTCGACCTGTGTTCAGCCATGTGAGATCCCGCTCCCAATGCACAGCACTTAACCACTGTGCTACAGGGCTAACCCTATAGATTAATTTTTAACTATCCTATCTCCCAGACTTCAACTGGAATTACCATAATTTGAAAAACAAAGTAAAGCATTCATTTGAGTTTTCATCCCTTCTCAAGTGTACATGGCAAAGAAGCCCCGAGTTACAAAGGAGAGACAAGCAACAGCCATGGTAACAAGTCTCAGCTCACGAACCATGGCTCAAATAGCCACAGACAAGCTGAGGAAGCCTCTTTAACCAAGTGCGGGGTCTGCACTTCTTTCTTGTGGAGTAAATTCTAGAAAACTAGTGTGCTTTTCTTCTTGACAACCAACCTCATCCACTCTGAAGGACACAGAGCCCATCATACCAGAGCAGTAGTTCTCGAACTATATTCCCCATGGAGTATTCAGGAACAATTGAGAGAAGGAAAAGTGCATGTCCTACACCATTCAGTTTTAAAATAACCATGGTGATGGAGAATAACCTTCCAGCCAATCAAAGCCACACACCTCTCTTGGGGATACAGATGACCATTTCATTATCTTGTTGGGACAAACAGATGGTTGAATCTGGAATCTCCGATAAGATATCAATCAACTCACAAACACCATATTCGGTGACATCCCAGTCCTTTGAGAAACACCTGTTTTAGCAATGGAAATGATGTAGAATGAGTCATATGGTTACTGTAAAATAACTAAGTGTGTGCAAGAGAGTGCTTAATGGAAAAATTATAAAACCACTTAAAACTTAGGGGGCAAAGTGTCTGCTTTCATTGCTTCCTTTTCCTCACTCACCAATGGTAAGCCTGTGAGAATTCTCGCACCACCACCTGTTTGCTGGCCTGGGATTTGAGAAGTTTTAGTACATCCTGAGTAAAGCGCTTCACCTGGGCCCGGTGGGTAAGGGTCAGCAAGCGTTTGGAACCCATCCCAAGAATCTGCAAATCAAACACTTCGATTATTCATGTGCGTAGACCCTGGCAGATACCGTTTTTTGTTGCTGGTGCTCTCGTGCACTACTGCCTTCACAGAGTAACTCCCTTCACACGTGACAGCTGCACTTTGAAACACACTCAATCTACGGAATGTGAGGGGCAACTGCCCCATGCCTGGGACCCTCTTTGTCATTGTTTTTTTTTGTTTGTTTGTTTGTTTGTTTTTGTCTCTGCACATCCCGTCCTCAAAAGTCATGAGAACAGAAATGAAAAGTTGTCTTATCTGGACAAGTAATTTATTTTTATTTATTTATTTTTTTACCCTCTGCTATTTCCCACCCTCATCCCACACTATCTTAGGTGTCCACAGTTGTTTTCCACTGCTTTTTCTCCCAACAACTAATTTTGTCTCTAAATAGCAGCTAAAGTTTTTCAAGCCCTTTTTACAAGAGGAAAGCTATTATGACACTGTAAGTTAACAGGAAAGTCTTCCTAGGGTTGAACACTATGCTCTAAGCCTGTATCATCGCCAACGTAAGCCCTGGACTCCTAGGAAGGCTCTGGCATACAAATCTGGGGACGTTTTTGGCAGCTCTCTCGTGACAGTGAACTGTGTGGAGGGAGATCATGTCACCAGTCTACTGAGATGGGAGGGAAACTCCTTAGTCCTCCAAAGAGTGCCTTCAGGGTGGAAATCTGCAACATTCTAAAAATTGAGAAGCCACCTTGCATGTTGTGGGAGGCCAAAATATGCCCCCCAGAATACATTTTGAATTGTTTTCTTCTGAGAGTTTCAGAGAGCTGTCCTGGAAAGCTGTCCTTCTGTCAAGGAAATTTACATCTACCTACCTTAGCAAGACAACGAGTGCAAAGGCTTTTCTGGGGCCCTTTATCTGCCCATCCGATACCTTCCCAAGACAGAGAGGACCACAGGCAGTCACGTGAGGGCTGACACCTGAGAGACTGTATCTGCACGGTAAGACAGTCTCTGCAGAGCAGTTCTTTGCCCTCGCACAGTCTGTCATCCCCAACCTGCAGGAATGTTTAATTTCCCATTTCCTGCACTTTGAAGAAAGCTTTTACGGGACGTTTTGCTCACGCTTGATTTTTAAATTTTTTTTTTTTTTCATTTTTTCTATTGGGGTGTGCACTTGCAGGAGAAAAACAGAGATAAAGAGAGTGAGAGAAGATGAGAAAGCACCCCCCCAGGGGGATGGTCATGCCTCAATCCCTTTACCTCTATTCTCCTCTCAGAATTTTTGGGCACGCATGCACATGCACCTAGTGTCTTTCAAGCCATTGGATCTAAGACTTGAACCATGCAGTCAAAAGTACGGGGTCCAGCAGCTTTAACCACCAGGACACCAACAGGACCCAGAATTGATGTCTCAGGGATCAGGTTACTACCCTTTTTAAAATCTCTTTGCATTCCTTACCTGCAACACATGAGGCACTGCTTCTAGTAATTCAATCAGCTTGGAATAGCCGTAGTCTGATACTCGGCATTGCTTCGCAAAATGATGGTGGTAAGATGGGATGAAATTGCTAATTGGTATGACACAAGACGGTTGGTTCTTGAGTAAGTCAATCACTTCTCTGCTGAACTGAATCAGTTGGGGGTTTCCTACAGGACTTTTAGAACGCAGAAGCCAAGGGTCTAGAGAGAAATAGAATATGCATATGCATAAGACATAAAGCAAGATCCCACCAGTGGAAAGGTAACTAACCTTGCAGTCCCTTGATCATGAGCAAGGTGATGAAACCAAGCAGCTGCTTTACATCTCAGCTTCTCTACGCAGCTCCCATCAAATCAACTGGCTGGTCCACCTTACTCACAGGATAGCTTTCATACTAATTCGTTAAGTTTAGTAACCAAAGTCCATTATAGCATTACCTACAGTAGATGTGAAAATATACTGGGAGATTCTAGTTTATAAACTGGTTGTATTCCAAGATCCATTTGTAACATGGTCATGTGGAACACACTTTCCCACAGAAACAAGATTGTAAACGGTCATTAGATAGGTAGCCAGAGAGTACCACGAACCCACAGTAGAGCAGAAACTATCACCCAAAAAACCCAGCAAAGCTATAGAATAAAACTAGCAAGACACAAAACTGGTTAAGAAAAAAGTTTTTGCATCACTCTGAATGCACATACCTAAAAAATGTCTTATTTTAAAAATTATAAATAATCAAATGGAAACCTTTATTGAAAGGTAGAAGAGGCCTATGGGCTCATGGCACAGGAGAGCAAGCAGGAATCAGCACCACCGATGGGCCCTGAGGAGTGCGAGGCCGAGGGGACAGGCAGGAGGGTTTGGTAGGCAGCTTTGGTACAAATACATTTCCTCCCAGAACTTGAGCAGAGCTCCCTGGTATCTTTTTTTTTTAGATAGAGATTTTTGCTATAGGGAGCGTGTGCTCACTAGAGAGACGGACAGAAAGTGAGAAATTACCCGCTGGGGAGGATGGCCATGCCACAATCCCTTCTCCATTCTCCTCGTGGGATTTTGGGCACACATGCACCTGCCCCCTGCCTGAGTGTTAAGCTGCTGAGTCTGAGACTCTAACCACGGTCAACTACATGGGAGTCCAGCGATGTAACCATTATGCCATCTGCTGGCCCTGCTCCCTGGTAATCTTCACCTTTTTCCTATAAAGGAGCAGAAGATAGGAGAAGGGAAGGGAGTTCTGTGGGCCAAAGAGAAGCGTATTCATATGAAAGCAGTCATTTAAAGCACTGATCACAGGCAGAAGCACTAGACATTTACAACTGGAGTGTCTGTAATCAGAAACTAATCCAAATCCAGTCCAATTCTCTGTAAAGTTACTTATTTTTACATTTACCTAAGTCAAAAATGTCAATCAAAATGAATTTCCAAGGAAAATTTGCATTGAGAGATACTATCTTCAAATACCAAATGCCTCGCAAAATTAGGTAATAGCTAAAAAGATTTGAAACAGTGGGATTTGGGGTTTAAATTCTTTTTTCTTTTTTCTGTGGAGCACGTGTGCTCACTGGTGGCTGTGGAAAAATCATTCCCACGGGTACAAGCCACACTGCAAACTCTTTTCCTCTTGAGATTTTGGGAATGCATGTACACACGCCTGGCTTGGTTTTCAAGAGCTGAGTCCAAGACTCTTTAACTACAGAGTTGGCCGTGTGGGATCCAGTGCTTTAAACCACCATGCCACCTGCTGGCCCTGGGTTTTAATGTTATTTATTTATGAGCGATATTTTCACTATAGGGTGCATGTGCTTAACAGAGAGAGAGAGAGGCAGACAGACAGACAGAAAGCAAGAAATCACCCCCTGGGGGAAGGCCACGCCACAATCCCTTTTCCTCCATCCTCCTCCTGGGATCTTGGGCATGCACACACATGTGCCTGGCATGAGTTTTAAGCTGCCAGGTCCAGGACTCGAACCGCAGTCAACTATGTGAGAGTACAGCGATGTACCCATTACACTATGCTGGTACCTGGGCTTTAATTTTTTTACATAATACACGCTGATACTTTCAAAAATTCGAGTTCTGCCAAAACCTCAGCATTTTTTAGAGAGATTTTCACATAATGGGAACAGCAGTTAGCATAATGGCTATGTCGCTGGACTCCCACGTAGTCGACAGCAGTTCAAGTCCTGAACCCGGCAGCTTAAACTCACGCCGGGTGCATGTGCATGTGTGCCTAAACCCCCTGGGAGGTGATTTCTCACTTTCTGTCTCTGTATCTCTCTCTCTGTCTGTTTGGTGAGTGCACGCGCCCTATAGCGAAAACCTCTCCAAAAAAAAAAAAGAAGAGAGAGATTTCACATATTGAAAGAGGTATCCATGGTGCTTTTGCACAGTGTTTAAATAAAATGTAGCAGCCTGCCCCAGGCTCATAGTAGGCAGCAATCAGGTGGTAGTGCAGGAGGACTGAACACCTGACACCTACCAGCGTTGGGCGGCGGGGGCCTGTTGTGAATCCATTTAACTACTTTGACGCCATTCTGAGCAGTGGCGATGTTCACCCCTGGCACGCAGGTGATGATGTGCTCTAGGGGAACGCCCCCATGGTTTTCCTGTACTGCTTCTAGTTCACCAAACTCTGCAGCATAACAATCTGAAAAGCTGAATGGGAAGAAAAAAAAATAAAGGTTCAATTAAAATAATGAAAAAGCTAAACAGAGGGTTTAATAGATTTGTTAATAAACCATTTCTATGTAAATGCCCGTGATGGGAGTTTAAAGAGTAAATGTAAGGTTCCAGGTTTCTCTGACACATTATGAAGGTGCTAGAAATTCCTGGGCAGTTTTCCAGGAGAGGGAGCTGAAAATAAACAACTGGATTCCAAGTTAGTTATTAACCTATTTTATCATTACAGGGCATTAAGACCACTTAGTCCTGTGCTGCCCTTTGCATAAAGTCTCCCATCATGGTGGGTAAGTGGACTTTGGAAGAATACATTTGTCTGTCAAGTCTTGAAATGTACAAGCATTTGAGGCTGTGTACACTCTCACAGCATTTGTGTGGTCTACTACAGCATTAGAATACATCGCTTCCCCATAAAGAACCTGTCTTACTTACGCTTACATTTCTAAAATTTAGCACAAAAATATTCTTGATCCTTTCTTGAGTGAAAGGATCCATTTCAGTATACTCTGACTGCAAGGCTGACGTGAGTGAAGCTGCCTCCAGGACCTGCTTGGGAGCGGCTGTCGCCAGGGACGGCAGACTTTCTATAACGAGGAGGAGGAAGACATCCATTCACAGTGGCTTTGGCGTGGCTCACCTTAGTAAAGGTACAGTCCCCTCATGGGTCTGGAGAAGACTGTGAACCTGGGGTGCAAACGTCTTCAAAGAGAGAATCACAAAAGGAATCTTGTAAGAGTCTGGATCAAATTCATGTTCACTGTAGAAAAGGAACACAGCAGTCAGCTGATATTCCTTAGGGGTCCAAAATATTCACAGGGAAACTCTAACAGATGGTCCACAATCTTCTACAAAAGGATTATTTCTAAAGGAAAGTGGGTGGTATACCTGAACTCCTTATTGGAACAATGCTGTCTGCAGACAGGCTCGTGATACTCTAACTCTTCAAATATAATCGGACTGCAATTGGTAGAGGAGCCGTCGTGGGACTGGGAAGACCCCAAGGGGCTCTGGCAGGCCTGACAGCTGGGTAAGAGACACACCAGGCGTCCGTTCCCTTGTTCACGGATTGTGACGGTGTCTGTTAATTTATATAGATCTGACACATTCAACTTGTGTCCAAACCTAAAAGCCAGAGAAAAAGAGATGCTGAGTTAGAGACGGTCTCTGTGACACTGAGTTAAGAGAGTTTCTGTGACGCTGAGTTAGAGAGATCGTCTCTGTGACACTGAGTTAGAGAGATCGTTTCTGTGATTAGGCTGACGTGTGTCCTGCTTAAATAGAAGGCTATAACCAGGAATAGGACCTCCGTTGCTTCAAAAGTAAAATGAAAGTAATTCCACTATAAATTCATTCGCCACTGAGCCAGAAATGCTTGGTAGCCTTCTGAGTCACCTCTGGCTCCCTGCACATTACAGTGATTGCCTCATTCAGCCCTCCCACCCCGCCCAGTCTCTGTGCTTACGTGACCTCATCCAATCATCTGACGGCACCTCTCCCAACCTGGCTCCCCTCACTTCTAACCCCCACCTGCGTTACCTCTCACTATTCCTGCTCTCCTCCCTCAGAAGTTACCGCTCACCTCACCCAGCTGCCTGACCCACACGTCCTGAGACTGGACTCCTCAACCAGCCCTGATGTGCATCTTTCGGACCTGGAGTGTAAAGGTACAGGCCTTGGAGGCAGACAGATTGGAGTTCATATCCTGACTCAGTTTCAAACCTGTGTGACCTTAATCAAGTTACAGAACCAATCTGGGCCTCAATTCTCCCATCTGCAAAATGGGATGTATCTATCTCATAGGACTGATACAAGGATTAAATGTGAGTAAGTATGACGAAGTTTTCTTCATCTTAACATAAGGGGTTGGCACACAGGAAGTGCTCAATAAATGCTTCCTGCTCTTCCTGCTACAGGTTACGTTACCACCCCAGGATCCTACCCACCCACTCAATTTCCCCCCTACCAGTCAGAGCCCGTTCTCTCCAGACTCCCACGGCCGGACGTTCTCCCTTGAGCTCTCATGAAGCCTCATGCTCTCGTCTCCTCCAGAACAACAGCAGCAGGAGCTGCTCCTGCTGTTTCACCTACTGGTTCTTAGCCCCTTCCCCTCTGGGCTTTATCCCACTGGACTCCAGCAATGGCTCTAAAGATACCAAAGACCTCTACCTCATCCCAAACCTCACACCATTGTCTCGGGCCCCTTGGTTCTCCACATTCCTGACATGCTCTTCCCATACATCCTCGTTACAACACTGGGTTTCCCTGGCCCTGGCAGCATTCCATCCAGTTCTGCCCTTCTCTGGTTCTCCTCCTGCCTCCTCTGGTCTTACCTGCTCCTGTGCTTTCCAAGGTCATCTTTAGGCGGTGACTGTCTTATCTTCACAGCTGACTTCTCTTCTCTCCACAGGGAGCCTCCCAACATGCAGAAGGCTATCTGAACTCCCTACTTAGCTACTCAACGACCCCTAAAACTCCTTGTCCAAAAGTAAGGTCAAACACTCAGTGTACCTCCTAATCACACTTTATTTCCCCATTTACAGTGTAACTGTACAACAATCTTCCCTGTCATCCAAGACAAAAAATCAGAATCATACTGACCTCTAGTGTCTACATGGCCCACTACCTAAGACTAGCTACCCGTCCCATTTCACCCACATGTGACGTTTCTGTGTATCTAGTCCCTTCTGCTGCATAGCATCTGTTCATGACGGAGGCTGGTGCAGCACGTTCCTTCCCTTCCACACCCTTTCCCCTCACCCACGCCGCCTCAGACACTACAGCTGCCAGAAGTCTTCCTGACCAGACCTCCCCCCTTCCCTGTTCCTCCACTGCATCAAGTGGCTCCCTGTAATGCACGGAATGATGGTCAAGCTCCCTGTTCCCCTCCCCTATGTATCTTTGAAGCATGCTTTTCTCCCTGCTCCTTTTCAGTTGAGTTTCATGTTTTATTCAACAATTTGTGAGCATTTTCTATTCCCTTCTAGATGCAGCTCCTCAAGGATAAGGGTTATGTCTTGCCTAGCTCTGGAAAGACTTGTTGAGTACCTACTATGCACTGAGTATAGAGGACATGGTGTCAGGTCAGCTCCAGTACTATCGAGCTTACGCAGGGTGCTCAAAGAGGTTCACTCAATGAATAGTTAAATGAATCAGGTGGCTGGGGAAAGAAAGGTAGAGCTTTGGAGACTGATGGTCTATACTGCTAAAAAATAAACAAAGTTTTAAAAATGTATGGTAGGTGGCTGCCAGATGACATGGTGGTTAAAGGCACTGGACTCCCACATGGCCAACAATGGTTTGAGTCCCAGACCTTCAGTCTTCTTGCTCCCTTTCTCTTTCTGTCTGTCTCTCTCTGGTCAAATTAAAAAATAATAACGGAACCAGCAGATGGCATAATGCTGCATCGCTGGGCTCCCATGTAGTCGACCGCAGTTTGAGTCCCAGACCCAGTGGCTTAAACTCATTCCAGGTGTGTGTGCATGCATGCCCAAGATCCTGAGAGGAGAATGGAGGATAAGGGATTGCGATGTGGCCATCCCCTCTGGGGGGTGAATTCTCGCTCTCTGTCTCGGTCTTTCTGGTGAACGCACGCACCCTATAACAAAAACTTCACCAAAAAATAAATAAATAAATAACAAATAAAGTTAAATAAATAAATAATTCTAAAAAAATTGTGTGTTTTTTCTTTTCTTTTTTAATATATGGTAAGGGGCCAGCAGATGGCATAATGGTTACACTGCAGGACTCCCACATAATCGACCATAATTTGCATCCTGGACCCAGAGGCTTAAACTCATGCTGGGCACACGTGTGTGAGTGCCCCAAGAAGAATCGATTATGGCATGGCCCTGGGGGAGGGGAGTGATTACTCTCTTTCTGTCTTTCTGTCTCTCCCCGTGTCACTGACAAGCACACATGTACTATGGCAAAAATCTCTCTTAAAAAAAAAAAAAGGTATGAAAATTTCAAATTTAAAGCTGCCATCTGCCATTCCCCCACTGGACTAAAAGGTCTTTATGAGTTCTACAATGGCTTTCTGCATTAAATCACCAAGCAGTACTGACTGGATCGATGAAAAAATAAATCTAACTTACTTTTTTTCATAGATGTCTGTGAATTTAAAAAGAGGCAGACAACAGGCAGGAGCATCTTGAAGAATAGACATTGTTTCTGCACTGTAAAACAAAATTATTATTAGTTGGAAGATCACTTCCTCTACGAGTTGTCTCTGAAAAACAGAGTTCATAAAACTAACATAATAGGGGGACCAGCAGTTAGCGTAATGGCTATGTCGCTGGACTCCCCGTAGTCAACCACGGTTCGAGTCCCAGACCCAGTGGCTTAAACTCACGCCAGGCATGTGTGTGTGTGTGCTCAAGATCCCGAGAGGAGAATGGAGGAGAAGGGATTGCAGTATGACCATCCCCTCTGGGGGGTGATTTCTCGCTTTCTATCTCTCTGTCTGTCTCTGTCTGTCTGGCGAGCGCATGTGTCCTATAGCAAAAACCTCTCCCCCCAAAAAAAGAACAAAAAAACTAACATAACAGGTACACAAAATCAATTTAACAGCTTCTGATATATTAGAATTTATTTTCCAGAGAAATTTAAAGAAAAGATTTTAGGGGAGGGACCAGCAGGTGGCATGGTGGTTAAGGTGCTGGATACTCCCACATGGCCGACCGCGGTTCAAGTACCGGATCTGGTGGCTTACTTTCTCACTTTCCCTCTCTCTCTCTCTGTATCTCTTTCTGGTCAAATTAAAATAAATGAATGAATAAGTAAAATTAAATAAATAATTATTAAAAAAAAAAAGAAAGATTTTAGGGGGATTCAGCAGATGGCATAATAGTTACATTGCTGGACTCCCACTTCGTTGGCCGTGATTCAAGTTCCAGACCTAGTGGCTTAAAACTCATGCTGGGAGCATATGCGTGTGTGCCCAAAATCCCAAGAGGAGATGTCATTGCCATCTCCCTGGGGGGTGATTTATCACATACTGTCTCTCTGTCTCTCTGGTGAGTGCACACACCCTGTAGCAAAAATCTCTCTTAAAAAACTAAAAGGATTTTAAGAACAAGTCAATGAAAGATGATAAAGTCACACCTGAGAGTTCTGGGGTTTCTTTTTTAAGAGAATTTTTAAAATTATTATTTAATTTGCTATAGGGCACATGTGCGAGACAAAGAGAGAGCAAGCTGCCAGGTCCAGGACTCAAAACACGGTAAGCCACGTGGGAGTCCAGTACCTTAACCACCATACCACCTGCTGGAACCATGCTAGACTGAGACGCAATCATAAGGCTTTCCACACTAGTGGAACAGAAAGACAAACTGTTCACAGTAGGACAAACACCTGGTTGTTAATTTAAAGCAAAAGGCAGAATAGCTTGAGTTATCTCCTGCCATACTGTGGGCTGTATATTAGAAATAGGTGATTAGAATTTCTGTAGTTGAGAATACCCAAATGTATACAATATAATCATGACTATGGATTTTTTTCCTTTGTTATTTTTTTAAAGAGAGATTTTTGCTATAGGACACACACATTGGCCAGAGAGACAGAAAGTGAGAAATCATTCCCCAGGGTAGATGGCCACACCACAATCCCTTCTCCTCCATTCTCTTCTTGGGATTTTGGGCACATATGTGCCGGGTGTGAATTTTAAGCTGCTGGGTCCAGGACTTGAACTGCAGCAGACTACAAAGGAGTCTAGCAACATAACCATTACACCATTTGCTGGTCCCACAACTATGGTTTTGAAAAACAAAAAGGCATCAAAAAACACCCAATGGAGAAAACACACACTCAACACTGAACTCTCAAGGGTGATTGGCTTCGAATAACAGGATCATGAATGATTTCCCCCTTCTTTTATGTTCTAAGGTTTCTACATTTTCTTCAAGGAGTAATATATTTATTTTAACAAATAAAAACATAACTTACAATAATGGTGAAGTAAAAGAAAAGATTCTTGATTGTCGAAACACTCATTTAAGAATAAACCGTGTTCTAGTAGTTTATCCCAGAACAGGGAGAGCAAAAGAAGAATCAAATCTTTTTATGAACATGATTACCAGATTCCTAAAACTGATACGGTCATAATGTAGATTTGTGGAGTGGGCGGGGTATTTATTTGATATAAGACTACAACTGTAAGTTGAGAGTTTAGAGCTTTGTAGGTCTGGCCTCCATAGTGAATCCACCTTCTACCAAGATGAGAAGGTGACATTCTGACTTTTTAGGCCATCTGCTTTTACTGTAGAGGTCTACTATTCTTAGAGCCTGTTCTGAATGTGTGGCGTATCATTTTACTCCAAAGTGCCCATCAGGTTTGAGTTCGGCTTCACCTTTGATTAATGACTTGAACAAGAGTCAAATGGCTATTTCTAACTCTATCAATAGAGAATAAACCTTAGTGCATATATCATCATTACAAGAGGACTGGGAATGTGATCAAATCTATTTTTATTATTTCCTAAATTGTTTGAGTTAAATATTAACTTCCTAAAATCAATGGCTTCTGTTTGTTTTTTACCTCAGTAGAGAGAGTGATTTATTAGCAACTCCTGTGGCGAGTGAGACCAGGATCTTCTTGCCGCCGATTTTGTATCTGTGGAGGTTGTTCACTGCACTGATTGCTTCTTGTAAGTTTTCCATCTGAACGATGGCCTTGAGTTGATAATCTGTATGGGGGCTAAGCTCCACACTCTTCACCTACAACAGTGGATAGGAAAAGAGAATCCTTTGTCACTGAGCCCTGACGTCTGAAACGCAAAGGCGAATCTTTAGAAATATGGCAGTGGACTACAGTGCTCTGGGAAGGAACCTGTCTGAACTCTACACTTCCGCTGACCAGAAGGTACGCGAGCTTGGATGGGGTGGCCTTCAGAGACATAAGACTAGTCCATTCTGCCTCAGTGCTCTGGCACACACAGATCTCCAAGGCAGACTCAGAGGCCACCTGGAGGAGGGATCTGGGAGGAGTGCCAGAGGTCTTCTCCAGACCCTGTTAAAAACCTGAGGCATAGCCATTTTAAAAAATATGTAAGGGATACATTTTTAGCAAAATTATACCTGAAAACTGAGTCAGAAATAATAAGATTTAAACAAAAACAGCCAACATTATTTCAGAATCCTATTTCGTATTTTAGCAAACAAAGCTACCTAACACTCATCAATATCTTATTCCCCAAAGTGCCACTTAAATTCCTGCCTACTGGGACTGGACAGCGGCGCAGCAGTAAAATGTGACACACGAGGCTGACCCAAATGGGTCGGTTCCAGGCTCATGTCTAGAGACCTCCCTGAGTACACTAGAAATGCATGTGCTGGAAAACCAGCAGTTAGCGTAATGGATGTGTCGCTGGACTCCCATGTAGTTGACCGCAGCTTGAGTCCCGGACCTGGTGGCTTAAAACTCATGCAGGGCGTGTGTGCGTGTGTGCCCAAGATCCCGAGAGGAGAATGGAGATGAAGGGAATGCGGCGTGGCCATCCCCCGGGGGGTGATTTCTCACTTTCTGTCTCTGTCTCTGTCTTTCTGGTAAGCTCATGCGCCCTATAGCAAAAAAAAACAAAAACAAACAAACAAAAAAAAACACCTCTCCAAAAAACAGAAATGCCTGTGCCCATGAGCTGGGGTGGATCGTGGGGTCAAGATGGTGCTGTCTCTCTCATTCATGGAAGAAAGAAAGAAAGAAATTTGGGAAAATAAATATATAAATAAATCCCTACTTAGGATGAGTGCTTCTCACCAGTAGGTTTCTTGCTCTCCAGTACTGCACCCTAAAAACTGGAGGTACCACCACCCTGAGCAGGAGAGGGAAAAGGTGGCATACAAAGCAGTTTAGTCACACTTTATGTACTGGCTATGTTTCTGTGTGCTAAAATAAGTGACCTTGACCTGCAACTCCATCAAATGGTGAAACAGAATAAGAGTGACAGGTTACCTTGCCATGCCTAGAAAATGCTTCCTGCATGAGCTGCTGCAGCTCCTTCCGGGACAATCTGTAGTCTATGTTGCTGACCTGGACGTCAGCACCATTTGCATATGGATCTGGACAATCAGCTCCGCCGCTCACGTTTGCAACACTGAAGGCAAGTGGGGATGCTCTGTTTAAGAGGTTTGGAGACATACTCCTGCTTAAAACACAAACATTAAAACTATTTTGAAAAAACTGTTCTATGCATGTAGGTTTTTTTCTTTTAGGCTTAGGTGAAGCCTTCCCAGAACACAGCTGAATTAAACACTGGGTTTTCAAATATGCTTTCATCTTAAACATATACTTACTGTTGAGCACTGTTAATAATCAACAGTCTAATATCAAATATTCTTTCACCGGATTATTTAAAACTAAAGGCAGAAATTACAGGCAGTCCTGATGTGTTTACCTTCTACTTTGGGGGGGTTATCCTAAGGAAATTTGTCTTAGATACTCAATTTAAGTTATTTAACCTCCCCCGTGGCCCTAAAAAGCTAGATATCTTTGCTCATCTGTTGCACTCCTTCAGCACATCAGGAAAACTTCTAGGGAACCAGCAGTTAGTGTAATGGCTATGTCACTGGACTCCCACGTAGTTGACCGTGATTCGCGTCTCGGACCCGGTGGCTTAGAACTCACGCCGGGTGGGTGTGCGTGCGTGCCCAAGATCCCGAGAGGAGAATGGAGGAGAAGGGATTGCGGCGTGACCATCCCCCCTGGGGGGTGATTTCTCGCTTTCTGTCTTTCTGTCTCTCTCTGCCTGTCTGGCGAGCGCACGCGCCCTATAGCGAAAACCTCTCCAAAAAAAATAAACAACTTCTAAGTGGATTTTTGGATGTAACTATACAGGTCTACAGTCACTTTGTGAGGTGGTTCTTCACCAACTCAGCAGAATCCATTCAATGCTAGGAAGAGTTCAAGGAAATGCACTATGGCCTACTGTTCCTCTGTCTCCCAAGCTCAAGAATGATTTGGTGTGAGTTCACAAAGTTTAGGTGGATAAATAATAAGGAACTACAGTGGTTTACAGAAATCCTTACTTCTCAAGCAGCTTCCTATAAAGTACCACACTAACAATCACCACTGGGGGGGCTAGCCTCATTCCCTGATGGTTAAGGGAGCTGGATCCCACATGGTTGACTGCAGTTCAGATCCTGGCCTCAGTGGCTTAAAAAATACCCAAGGAGTGTGTGTGTGTTTGTGTGCGTGTTCTCAAAATCCCAACAGAATGGAGAACAAATTGTGGCATGACCACGCTCCTTTGGGGTGTGCTTTCTCCCTCCCCTTCCATTCCTCTCTCTTGCAGGCAAGCACACCCACCCTCTGGCAAGTTAACAAAAAAACAGAATGATCAGGCCAGCAGGTGGCGTGGTGGTTACAGCAGCTAGATCCTGCATGGTTGACTACACAATTGAAGTCTCAGACATGGAGCCTTGAGAAACACAGAAGGCACATGTGCCCGCATGCCCAAATCCCAACGGGAAGAAATGGAGACCATTTCTTGGCACGACCATCTTCTGTAGGGGGTGTTTTCTCACTTTCTCTTTCTCTGGCATATGTATACATACCTTCTAACAAATTTAAAAAGAAAAATGATCAATGAATGCCTAGTTTGGGCTTTTTCCTCAACATGATGCACATTAGGACATCTGTACATGCCTCCCAAACTGGCCAAGGACTCCAGGACAGGCTTGTCTCTGCCCACTGCTTACTAAGATGTCCCCACAAAGGACAGAGAAATGGTGAGGAGCACTGCCCTTAAATGTTAGCTCGGCTTCCCTGAGAAAAGGGGGACTGACCTGATGGAGGAAGGATAAGAGCCTGCCTTTCACTTGTGTGCTTCTGTATTATCCGAACTCTTTCGAATAAACACACAACTTCAGAATCCTTCCAGCTACATGTAACCACCCCCAAGGATCAGGAAGCTAGACTTACCGAGAAGACCAAGACTGAGACGTGAGCAGAGGACCAACTTGCCTTGATGCAATCAACTTGCTAAAAGCGGAGGGATAACTCACTTGGAACACACTCTCCTCTTTATCTTTTTTCTCTATGGGAGAACTGGTAACACTTCGGGCACTGAGGTTTTCTTTTCTGATAGACAGGAAAAATCAGAGGGAATAGGTCATATGTATTCCTTCACATTAGAGAATCAATAAGGGCTAGCTGGTGATGTGCTAGTTAAGGCAGCCAGATCCCAAATGGCCAACTATGAGGTTCAAGTCCTGGACCCGACAGCTTAAAAAACACTGGGTGCCTTATGTGTGTCTGCCCCAAATCCCGAGAGAATGGAGAAAGTGGGATTGTGGCAAGGCCATTCACCCAGGAAGTGCTTTCTCCCCAACTCTTACAAGTACACTACTCTCTATATCAAATTTTAAAAAAGAAAGAAAAGAGAAAAAGAGACCAGCAGATGGCATAATGGTTACATCACTGGACTCCCACATAGTCAACCATGGTTTAAGCCCCAGACCTGGTGGCTTAAAATTCATGCTGGGCACGTGTACGTGCGTGCCCAAAATCCCGAGAGGAAAATCGAGGAGAAGGGATAGCGGCGTGGCCATCCCCTCGGGAGGAGGGGTGATTTCTCGCTTTCTGTCTCTCTAGCAAGTAAATGTGCCCTATAGCAAAAATCTTTCTTAAAAAATAAAAAAAAAAAAAGAAAAAAGAAATGATGAGAAAGAGTAACTTAACGTACTTTTGATTGGTTTTGTAAACTGAATCCGCCATCCCCGGATTTTTAGACGTGGGCACTGCAGCGCTTGGGTGACTGTGAGGAGGCACGACCAGCCTCAGGTGACCATGCTGGTGCTCGCTGTTTCTACTGCCCGTCTTGGACTCCATGCGGCACAGCTCCTTAAAAGACACAAGTGCAGTGGACTTTAAAGCTTAAGGGGCCAACGTGTGCTAAATCCTGGACAGAAAACTGACTCTGAGTACCATCAAAAACAGAAATAAAAGTAAAGGACACACCAAAAAGCAAGCAGGCACACAGAAGCCAAACCTACCCAAAACTCCAGAAAAGAAGGATCTCAATTACCTGTAAACTTTTAACGTGCGTGTGTTTCGCGGCAGATCCAGAATTTGCCTGCAGCCCTTTCCCAGGCGTGGCTTTGGCACTTGAAGATTGCTCACTTGCATCTCTGATGAGGCACAATTTTGGATTCTTCAGTTTTTTGGGAGACTTCACTTTCTCAGCAATTGCATTGGAACTCTTGGTTTCACAGAGTTCTCTATTCTTTGGAGTAAAGGACACAATGATCCTATTCCCGAAGACATCCTCGTTCTCCATGCGCTTCTGAGCCCGCTCGGCACTGTCCTGGTTGATGAAGCGGAGAATGGCGCTGCAGCCCGTGATACTCAGCACCTTCCCGCCACAGTTGTCGGACAGGCGCCGGAGCCTGTTGCTGATGCTCTTGCCGTCTTTATTCGCTGGTAGGTTATACACGTAGAGCAGAGTGTGGCACTGCTAACACAGCGGAAAGGACAGTGACGTCAGCCTCACTGAGGGCACCGTTTCGAAACGAGAATAAGTGATCTCTGAACTTTAGCTGGCAAACTTGCAGGGGCAATGGGAGTGATTTAGCCAGAAGAGGGTAAACTGTATTTAAAGTGGTCAAGATAACTGAATGTTGTTTTAAAGGAGATGCTTGGCACAGAAGTTCATATACTGTATGGCAATATTTCTATAAAACGTATGGAACTCGGGAACCAGCAGTTAGCGTAATGGCTATGTCGCTGGACTCCCACGTAGTCGACCGCGGTTCGTGTCCCGGACCCGGTGGCTTAAAACTCACGCCAGGCGTGTGTGCGTGCGTGCCCAAGATCCCGAGAGGAGAATGGAGGAGAAGGGATTGCGGCATGACCATCCCCCCTGGGGGGTGATTTCTCGCTTTCTGTCTCTATGTCTCTCTCTGTCTGTTTGGCGAGCGCACGCGCCCTACAGTGAAAATCTCTCCAAAAAAAAAAAAAAAAACCACGTATGGAACTCAGGGTGGGATAAGAATTAACTATATACTGGCATAAAAGAATTTACTGAGGTGATATAAATATTCCAAAACTGGTTGTACAACTCGATAAATTTACACTTAAAAGAGTTGAATTTTTTTTTTAAAGAATTATTTTGTTTAACTTTATTTTTAAATTTTGACCAGAGAGGGACAGAGCAAGAGAGTGAGAGCAAGCAAGCTGCCAGGTCTGAGACTCAAACTGCAACCATGAATGACTCCTGCACCCTTAACCACCACGCCACCTGCCAGCCCCTACAAGAGGTGAATTTTTTATGCTACGTAAATTATATCTCAATAAATTTCTCTTGAAAGTCCATTTTGGGACCAGCAGGTGGCATGGTGGTTATGGTCCTGGACACTCCCACATGACGGTTCAAGTTCAGGACTTAACAGCTTGCTTTCTCACTTTCCCTCTTTCTCTGTGTCTCTCTCTGGCCAAACTGGGGGGGGGGGATGAATAAATAAAATAAAATAACTTTTTTAAAATGTCCATTTTACTAGGAGCGGCAGGTGGTATGGTGGTTAAGGGCCCTGGACTCCCACATGGTCAACCGTGGCTCCAGTTCCAGACCTGGCAGCTTGCTTTCTCACTTCCCCTCTCTCACTCTGTCCCTCTCTGATCAAATTAAAATAAATAAGTAAAATAAAGTTAAATAAAATAAAAAATTTTTAAAAAAAAAAAAAAAGTCCAGGCACTGTCAGGTGGCATGTGGTTAAGGGCGCTGGACTCCCCTCCCATATGGCTGACTGCAGTTTAAGTCCCGGACCTAGTGGCCTGCTTTCTCACTTTCTCTCTCTCTGTTCCTCTCTAGTCAAATTAAAATTAAAATGAATAAAGATAAAATTCTAAAAAGAAAAAAATATTTAAATAAACAAAAAAGTCCATTTTGCTAATTATTTAGTACAGCCACTAGTTAATATTTTACAGTCAGATCCTCTCCAGCCTCAACGGCAGGTTGCTGGCTGTCAGCCTGGAAGTTCTGTTTAGCAGTGGGTGGTCATAACCCTTCCAGATGAGTTGAAATGTATATATTAAGAAACAGGATCATTAAAGTATCAGAAAAAAAATTTTAAGTAATTATAGAAAGGGTTAAACAAGCCATAAAAGAACTTACTAAAAAATGGCCCAAGGATATGATAGAATTTACAGAAGAAATAGCCAGAGTCTCAAACAATAATAAAGAATATCATGCAGCTTCCCTATAATTTATGCAAAGGCAACTAGAAGCAGATGCCATTTTTCACCTATCATTTTGGTAAACATTTAAAACAGAGCCTCTCATTTATTATTGATTAAGAATGTAAATTAGGGGACCAGCAGTTAGTGTAATGGCTGTGTCGCTGGACTCCCACATAGTCGACCGCGGTTCACGTCCCAGACCTGGTGGCTTAAAACTCACGCCGGGCGCGTGTGCGTGCGTGCCCAAGATCCCAAGAGGAGAATGGAGGAGAAGGGATTGCGGTGTGGCCATCCCCCCGGGGGGGTGATTTCTCGCTTTCTGTCTGTCTGGCGAGCGCACACGCCCTATAGCAAAAACCTCTC